ACTATACAGTGAGTTACTCAGACGTAGTCAGAGGCAGTTGAACTTAGTAATGCAGAGTTTTTAGAAAAAGCAGTTTTCAATTAGCTGTTTCTAATACGATGCAAAACCTTTCAAACATGTCTATTACTGTAGGGAACCATGACATAGAATTAGAAGATTTCTATACTACCTGACTAAAGCTGTCTATATGGCAGGTTTCACTGTTCACTAGAGCAATGGTCAAAGCACAGATGCCATCACCACCACTATCAAAATGGAGCAATTGATTACCTGTGCAGATAAGGCTAATTAAAGGGCACTGACAAACTAAAGTAGTCCAGGACAGCCAGGCATCTGCACAGCAAAAGGATTTTATCAGTGGATTGATGCCATGGACTCAGTAACTGGCTTTTAAAAGCCATTTTTCTTTTCCCTCTTTTTTGGGGGAGGTGAGGGGAGATATGCTAGATATCTGACCAGGATAGTCCTGTTGGCAGGACCAGATCAATGATAAGTAAGCCAGAAATGCTCTCATATGTAAAATACAGGCCCAGGAAATACCACCGAACTCTGGGATCTTCATGAAATGCTCAGATGTGCTTTTTAAACTTTTATTTATTTTTCAGATGCCCCATTGCTTTGTGTCCTCCGGTTGTATTTACAAGTATAATGGAAAATGACAATCCTTCCATTCTTTCTTAAAATGTCAAAGACCACACAAAACGAATTATTCTGAGTCATGTGCTATTTTTGCACATCACACCAGGTAATCTCCACAGCACAATGGGCCTCATGATTTGAAAGTCGTCATTCTTGGAAATTCCAACTTTGAAAAAAAAATCCCTCCAATCAACAAAATGACAGTTTTTTAATTGAAGGCCCACACACAAATTAGTAAATAATTATTGCATCTACTGGCAGTCAAATAGAGCATTTCATCCAATTCTCTACTTGTAAAGATTCAACACTCCTTACGATTTCGAGGGAAAGAATATTTAAACAAAAGATTCCCCTTATCCCCAACCAGGGGTTAGACTAAGACCTTTGCACTGAGCTACATGCCCAAACCATTTATTTTATTTTATTTATTTATTTTTGATTTTGAGACTGGGTCTTAGTGTATTCTATGCCCTCCACCTCACACTATGGCTTGGGCTGACCTTGAACTCGTGATCTTACTGCCTTAGTCTCCAAAGTGCTAGGATTACAGAAGTATGTCTCTATGTCTGGTTGAGAAATTTAAAAAAAAAAAAAATCACTAGCCCTTTCTTAAAAGGAAAATAATGTAATTATTTAAGCAAATTTGTCATAAACTTGTAGTGGTAAAAATCAACCCTTATAAACCTTAGTTCCAGTTTGGACCATGCAGCACATCGGGCTATGCTAGCCAGAGAGGCTATGCTAGCTATGTATCTCAATTTACTTATTAACAAAACTGATATAATATCTATCACTTAGGGTTGTCATAACAATGAAATATTTGTATCCAGTGGTCTGTCCATACTTTTGGAGGATTAGTTCCAGAAACCCCCTCCCCACTACCACAGACACCAAAATATGAGGATGCACAAGTACAGTGCTATCTCAATTCACGAATTCTTTTGTTTGTAAGCAATTTGGTTTGAAAACAGAAACATTTGGCAAAATTTTGTTCTTGTGTGCAAATGCTGCATCAGGGGACAAACACGATTGCAGCCATCTTTCCCACACAAACACAGTGGCCATTTTTTCCAAAATCATAGACCAAATTCAGCTTGTGAACCAGGTACCACTGTACAGTACCTTGAATGAAATGGTAGAAGTATTTGAATATAACTTAACACCTGTATTTCTATATATTGTTGATCATCTCAATTATTTATAATTCCTAATATAATGTAAACACTATAGTACTATAGTATATACATACTGTATAGTTTTGGAAATCACAAGAGAAACCATATGTACCTGTTCAGTATGGTACAGGTTTTTTTTTTTTCCTGGCTATTTTTGATTTATGGTTGGTTGACTCCATGGATGCAGAACTCATGCATACAGAAGGTCAATTGCATATGAAATTATGTGGCACTTTCCCTGGCAATTTATAGTAGCTGAATCTGAACAACTGTTTTTTACTATCTTGGAGATTTGTATCGATAGAAACCTGTGGTGAGTTTCTCTTTAAACATATGTGCTCATGAGAAAATATAAGTGGAAAAAGCAAGGAAGTATGAACACCTTAATATTGTCTGAAAAATACTTTTAACCTTGGTAACTCCGTGCAGTAATCTCTGCTTCCCTGTCTCACAGTTCTCCAGATCACCTTTTGAAAATGCTAGATTAAGGAAAGTATGTGAGCCTATCGGTCAAGGGGAGGTTGTCATGGAAGTGTCAGACAAGAAAGGGGAAACTGAGCTGGGTGTAATGGTGCGCTCCTGTAATCCTAGTAGGATGGCGGCAAGTTTGAGCCCAGCCTGGGTGATTTAGCAATTTAGGGAGAACCTACGTCAAAATAAATAAAAAAGGGCTGGGGGTGTAGCTTAGTATAAAGGCCTTCAATTCAATCCCAGTAACACACATACACATAGAAGAAAGGGAGCGGGAGAGAGAGAGAGAGAGAGAGAGAGAGAGAGAGAGAGAGAGAGAGAGAGAGAGAGAGAAGAGGAAAGGGAGCGGGAGAGAGAGAGAGAGAGAGAGAGAGAGAGAGAGAGAGAGAGAGAGAGAGGAAGAGAAATTGTCTGTTAACTATTTTTACCAAAATCTTCAGGGAAAATGTGTCATGGTGGGTAGCTGCCAAACTGCAGGTGGTTGTTAAGGAAAGAAATTTAAATAGATGTGATGAGACTCAGAAAGAATGAACAAAATGGCCAACTAGAATAGATATTTTCCCTCTTTCCAGCTATTTCTATCACCTTTAAAAAATCAAGTGCTCCTTGAAAATCTACCCCTACTTCTGTAATTAATTTGCAGACTTATTTGTGATTCTAAAGCCCTTGACTCAGGGAAAGTTTTTACTTCTTTCACTGTAGGAGTAAGAAGTTGAATGAGAAGCCAGCCCTGTGTTGGAGGTGAAGGAAGCGACCAGGGGTGCAGATGTGAGGGGTGGGGCTTGGTGGAGAGAGGAAGGAGAGGGGCCCTGGGTGTGAGGGCCCAAGGCTGGATCAACTCAGAAGAGTGAAGAGGAACTCGGAGTTTTTCCTGCCTGTCATGGAGCAGGAATGATGCAAGCAGATTAGGGGGTTCTGGGAAAGCAGAAGTGCCCATCAGAGGGATCCAACATTTGCTCTAAATCTACTCCAGAAAATTGGAGGAATATATGCTCGTGAAATATCCTTCTATCAATTGTGAGAATTTGGAAGAAAATCAACTTTTTAAGGAACTCAACAGGTCACAGTATAAAACTCACTGGGAAAAAATTTGGCCTAGTATATAATTCAGATTATCATAAATTATGTTCAGCATTGTAGTTTCTTAGTTTGTAAATATAATTTATATTCAATATGCTGTTTAAAAATTGTAAAGGAAAATTATTATATTATTCTATAACCAGAGTAAATGGACATCTAGTAGAAATAAAGCATGTGAACATGTTTATATAATCTATTTTACTTATAACTATATTATTACAGTGGCTTATACAATTTTTTTCAATGGAAGTAATGAATGAATTATTGAATTCCAGTGCTTTTTGTTTGGGTTTTCTCTTTCACAGGCAAGTAATAATTTCCCCACTCTTATTTCTCTTCTTTTTTTCTTTTTGGTACAAGGGATCAAACTTGGGTCCTTGTGCTTGCAAGGCAGGCGGTGGAACCACTGAGCTAAATCCCTGGCCTTTATTGTTCTTTAAAGAACAGTATATTGCAAAAATATGTTTCATTGACATTAGTTATACAAGCGCATATAAATGCTCTCCAGATAGATTTTTACAGTTAAAGAAGTTTGGAAAACTATGGATTCAGTGAAGATGTTGCTTTATAGTAATAATTTCCTGAGCCCATGAAATAAATTGTTCATCAAGAAATTCCAAGAAAGCTATCCACAAGCAAATACATCCAGACTCTCTTGGTTTGAAAACTTAATTTCATGGTGACTCTATTACCTTCTCTTAGAACATGTATTCTGAGTGAAAGAGCTTTAAGAAAATTTGCTTTACACTGCAAGACAAAATGATTGGATTTGCACATAGTATCTTTGCAAAGCTGTTCAGTTTTAAAATTCAAGAGGAGCTCAGTGGCTCTGCACCTGCCTTGCAAGCACAAGGTCCTCAGTTTGATACCCAGAACCAAAAAGAAAAAAGAAAAAAAATTCTAGAGGTGCCCCCTTTTTTATTAAGGAAAATCAAAATGAAACATAAATATGGCTGCCTTGTTATTTTAATATTGTCTTGCTTTTCAAAATAAAGCTTGACAAGAGAACTTGAGTTAGACTAACTCAGGTAGGAGGGTACAAGAGTACAGATTGTATTTTTCCTGTTCTTCCACTCTCAGGGTGAAAAAACAATAGGTAAGAGGGAGCTTTTGCTTCTGAAAAAGATGATTCTCTTGCTGTGGTGAGCGTGTGTAATTCTTTCCCTACACACACGGTATCATAACGCATGTGCCAGGCTGGCTGGTAGCATCGTCAGTTTCCTGTACTGACTGAGGAACAGGAAGGAAAGAAGGGGCTGAGGATAGGGACGGCGGCTGGTCCTCTATCTTCATCATAACCGGCGTTTTGCTATTTTGTTTGAAATATTTCAAACACTCAGAATGCAGACATTTCTATAATGAAATGTAGTTCCAGAGACACTTTTCAGGGAGAGATAGGTAAGATTCTTTTACTGTCTTCATTTTCAAACCTTATGCTACCATTCTTACTGACGCGAACACTCAACGGTTGACCGTCTGTGAGCTATATATGTGTCCAAACATTACATCTATTAAAATGTATTAAACCTATTAAAAATCAAAATTAAACTGCTTCTATTTTTAAGTGGGCTTAACTACAAAGAAACATTTACTGAATGCAAAACACACAACAGTGACTGTATAATAATAATCTACCTGAATGTAGATTGTCAGCTGTCACGTAACCCCGGGGCTCTCTCTTCATTCCTTCAGCTATTCCTGGAAAGGCATACATTCCTTATCACATTTCAGCAGCTGTATGAACACAACTTGGGAAAAAGTACAGTAATCCACCTTTATCTGCACTTTGGCTTTTGGATATTTCATTTAAAAGACTCCAGAAATAAATAATTTATAGGCTTTGAATTGTGCACTTTTCTGAGAAGTGTGATGAAATCTCACTTGGTCTCACTTTACCCTGCCTGGCACTGGAAACCCTGTGTGCTTCAGATCTTCAGCTATCGTGATACCACAGTGGATGCTTTTAAGAAGCCCTTATTTTGCTTAACAATGGCCTCAAAGTGTAAGGATAGTGAGGTTGTCAATTCCATTAGAGTATATGATTATCATTATTCTGCTTTATTTTCGTTCTTAACCTCTTATTCTATCTAGTTTATGAATTAAACTTTATCGTAGGTATGGATGTATAGGAAAGCATCTAGTATATAGAGTGTGCTGCTCTCAGTTTTTTTGTTTGTTTATTTTTAAATTTAATTTAATGTTTTAGTACTGGGGATTGAACTCATGTCCTGAGCTTGCAAGGCAGGCAGTGAAGCCGCTTAGCTAAATCCCCAGCCCTGTGCTCTCTGAGCTTTTAGTTATTTACTGGGAATCTTGAAATGTGTTCTCTGTGAAAAAGGGACACTACATGTGGAAGAAGTCCAATCCTAACTACTCAGTTCAGAAAGTTGTCAGTTCACATCTTCCTTCAGCAGCAACAGCATTTTGTTTTCTCTCTTTATATCCCTATATGCTTGTGCAGACAATGGAAGCTTTGTTGTACTGTGTCTGGAAAGTGTTTTGCATCCCTTTACGATGGGCAGTAATTGCAACTGGTACATCTTGCACCTGGAAGGGAAGAGTTTCTGGCTGTTGGAATCTTCTTTGGGGGTGCATTCTAGCTGGTTTAGCCATGATATTTTCTTCCTGCTTAACCCTCCAAACTTCCTTAGTTTAATGACCATCTTATGTTTAATTTTTTTCCTTCTCATCCAGTATGTTTATGTGAGACCAACTTTAGAATATATGTCAATTGCAGGGTGGTAATTACTGACCATGGTTCTACACTGCAGCTCCTGTGGTCAGAAGATAAATGCACAATTGCTCAGTAACTTGAAAAACTCTGACTGAAAGGCCAGAGGACTTTGTCATTTTACTCCACCCTTTGTGAGTCAGTGAAATGGATTGAATTATAAACCAGAAACTAGCACTTCAGTTTGATGAAACTCATTCTAAAGAGGAAAGTGTCACTACATGTTGGCAGTTTATAAAATATGATGATCTGTCTTAATCCATTGGAACTGACATGTCCTTAATAATAGCAACATTCTTTGTAAATTAAATAGCTATTATTTTTGTAAAAAAACCTGTCAGGATATGTTATGCAGTGATGCACATGTGATCACAGGCATTTTCATTGTGCCTAAAATACAGAAAAACACAACCCACTTGAGAATTTATCAAGTAGCACTATAGACATGAACCAAAACTGAACTAAAAACTTGGAGTGATTTCCCACATCTTACAGGAGTCCTTGGTTTGGGGGTATATGTCCAGGTCATTATATATCAGATCCCCTGAGTCATTTAGCAAACACTGAATACTTATTCTATCCCAAGCATAGTGTTAGGGCACGGTATAAAAATGCCCTTCATAATCTTGATGAATTTCACTTCTTTTCTGCTTGTCTGCTCCCTTCTAGTCACCAGCAAGATTTTCTAGCTTCCTTCTTTTCTCTCCGGAGAGAAGGTCCTGTCCTTCGGGGGAAACAACCTTCTCTGGATCCTGTAACTTTAAGGCCACCCTCAGAAGGGACATTTCTCCCATACAGAAATGAGAGGAGTGGTAGGTTATCTGAAAAGGAACAAAATTCAGCAGAGTGCTAAATTAACTATTTATTCCTTGAATTTCCTAGACTTGAACCAGGGGCCTCACATACGCTGGACAAGACCTCTGCCACTGAGCTTTCACATAGCTCAGCCCTAACCTGTGTGTGTGTGTGTGTGTGTGTGTGTGTGTGTGTGTGTGTGTGTGTTAGAAGAAATTCCTTAGAATTATGTTAGAGTACATAAACAATTCTTTGCCAAAGTTATTTAAGGACATGATGACTATAATAGGTAGGGATTGTAATATGAAGTCACCCAAGGCAGGTTTAAAATAATTTGTTACAATGGAGAAATTTTCTGACGTGTGCAGATAAACCACTACCATAGTCATCTAAAAGGCAGGCTTTATCTTGAATACATCTGCTTATAACCTTGGTAATGATGTGTCTGAAGCAGACAGGATATGGCAAACTGGGAAGCCAGAAGTGTAATCAGAGGGCTTATTATCAACAGATCTCTCTTAATGGAATGTTATCAAGGGCCTGCTGAAAATTGCAAATATTAAGCTTGAAGCTTGCTGTTTCTTCCATAATATTTGAAGCAAGAACAGTGCAAGCTAAAGTTATTGTATATGTAGTTTGTGTCTGCCTAAGGCCACCAGGTGGAGACCAGAATTGGGTTAGGGTTAAATCCAGCTTGTACCCTGCATACCGGGCATGCACTACAGAAAGCCTACTTCTGCCCAGAGGGGTGTTGTTTTCATATTTGCACAAAGGCTCTGTACATGATGGCTCTGGCACTAGCACTCTCAGCTACCAGAAAGCAGATTTCTGGAACTTCCTTCAGGACAGTAGGAAGGCAGCAAATGTGATACGACTAAGACTTGGTAAGGGTTGTCTGACTGTTAGTGGGAGAATAATGCCAGCTCAGGTTGACATTTTTTCCTCTAAGCAAGCTAAGCATACTTCATTAATTCCAAGTTTCCCAGAAGTTCTGAGGCTTGCAGAACATTGTTGTTCCACCTACCCCTTTTCCTGGAGAACTGTCAAGATCCAGAGTTTCTCAGGAGCTAGAATAATTACTGAGTCCCGGTGAGAAACTGCAGAGTAAAATTTCCCTGAAGGCCATGTCTCCTGCATCCTACCACCAGAATCAGGGCTGTAGCTTCATGATCTGGGTCCAAGAGGATTACGGAAGAGCCCAGGTTTACTGTTGCTATTGGCACAGTGGGAACACAGTGGCTTGCTAGATTTCCAGTGTTTACTCTTATGTACTGCTTCCACAGAATTGTTAGGTTTCATTAATTTGTGGAATGGCCATATCTCAAGAAATCCTCTGTGTGTGTGTGTGTGCGTGCATGTGTGCATATGGGAGTGTAACAACTCAAGCATTAACCACATTGCTTCTTTGCTCCACTTGGCATTTCCTAGCTCAATCACACACAATACAGGAGCATGCACATGCAAGTAGACACACACATACACACATACAGACACTATTAGTAGTAGTAAAATTAAATGAGAAAAGCTATCAGGAAATAGATGAAGAGGCTTACAATAGAAGCTTCTTTTGGAGAGACGGATGCCAAGGAAACAGATTTAAAATTCTGCTTCTATGAATGCATTCCATTTATAAGCAGGGGCATCGATAGATGACATTGCTCATAGCACGCTAAGGGAAGATGCTTCAAAGGAAGGATCTATTCACTTATTACTCAAATGTAAATTATATGTGCTCTTGAAGTTTGCCTTTTATATAATTTTAATGCATTTTAAATTTTAATATGGATTACTCTACATGAATCACCCTCTTTGTTTTCAATTCTATTAGCACACAAAAATTGAGAAAGGGATTCTATTTTCTGGTAATTCTAAGTATTTAATGAAATATAGCACATAATATTGTGTCTGCCATAGAGGAAGGATTCAATATTTGTTGAAGCAATTTCAGTATGATATGTTAGCTATGATCTGCCATGAATAGGTAATGACTTCCTAAATTCCCAGCTTTAAATGATTTTTCTATCACCATTCACATTGTGGCAGGGGCTGGGGGGAAGCAAAGAAAAAGAAATCCTGGCTCTCAAGAAAACTAAGGCATAAAGATTTATTTGTTTTTTGTTTTGTTTTGTTTTAGAGAATATTTTGGCATTTCTCTTAAAGAGTTATGGAATCAAGGATATTCAAAGTCAATTGTTCTAAACCAAAGCTTTTTGTTATTCTACCAGTGCACAAGGTCTGACTTTTTTCCACTTGAATAAATCCAGTGATTCAAAACGACTGATTACATGAACTATGTAAGTTAGCATCTAGATAAAGTAGAAGAAAAATATTATATTTCAAAAGAGTAGGTAGAGATTTAGCTCACTGGTACAGCACTTGCTTAACATGTGTGAGGGCCAGCTGATTCCCAGCTTTGCCAAAACAAAAAAACAAAACAAGATGGAAAAACCCCCAAAAAACAAACAAAAACTGGAGGCGTGATTTGATGTACTTTTGACCTTGAAAGACACATAGTATACAAGTAATCATGATAGAAGTTAGAGTGTGAAAAATGTCAGGCAAGAGACCTCAAAATTAGAACAGAAGATCAAAAGGCAAGGCTGGGACTGGAAGGAAGACGTCTAGGAACAGAGCGAAGGAAGTGGCACACCATATGCCAGAACAGTAAGATGGCTTCCAACCTTTGGCATAACACGGAAACATCTTATTATAAGAGAGACAAAGCCACTACAGGGAGAAGCTGGAAGATCAGGCTACAGGATAGGTTGGAACTAGGTTGTGAAAGGCCTTGAACATTGGACATAGGCAGTAGCATCCTGCTAAGTGCTCAGTAACTAAATATTGGGTAGAGGGAAGGCAGTTGGGTTCATGATGTTCATTGCTTTTCTACTCCCACAGGCGGCCCCTGAATGTTGGGTTCGAAAGACAAGCTAAAAATCGGGTCTTGAGAGCTGGTACAGCTTCAGCACACCAGCAGATAGGGGTTAGTTGAAGCTACGTGAAAGGATGAAACTGCAAAAAGGAAAACACAGTACACAAAAACAAAACGCAGAAGACAAACAAGCATACTGAGACACAACATGTGGATTGCCTGCATTTATGAGTAGAGGTAATGTGGAGACGGATGGGCTAGAAGTTAGGAAAAGCGGAGGTGGAGATGAGCAAGGGCTACGAAACCAAAGAAGGAGATAGAATCGTGCAAATACTGAATAGTTTCTCTGGTATGA